GAGTTTTACCGACTCTGCTGCTTCTACCCCAGAACTAGTCCCGCTTCACCTTCCCCCATCCTCTTTGTGTGTAGCTAATGTGGATCCTTTCAGAATGGCTTACATCTTTCTCTCTCCTACTTGGTGTATGAAATCGCTTGCAAAACTCTGGGACAATGGACATGTCTGACTTTTCCACCTAGTCATGCTGCTTGTGGTTTAGACTCCTTGTCCCTAGATTGGTCTTTTATTTATTTTTTGTTAGTGTGGATGAAAAGGGGCCACATACTAAACCTGACAACCTCAGGGGGTACCTGGGAGGCGGCCTTACAAACTGACACCTAAAATAACCACAAATGATGGTCTGAAATTAAAACATTTTAACTAAAAGCAGTTTATGGCAGGTGATCACGTCCCAGGCTAGAGTCTTCCCAGACAAAAGTCAATCTTTAGCTTAAATGAACCTGTCTGTTGACTTTTGCCTCTATGACAACATAACTTTGGAATGTCAAGGTAACTTCCCTCTTTCCGGACTCCTCAGGGCACAACATCCTCGTCTGAGCAGAGACCATAAATCCCCTCATTGTTATTGTTATCAAGTGTTAATTGATGACTGTTAACTATCCTGTATCCAAATATGTTAAAAGTTGTATGTGTCTATCATTTTACTTTTTATCCAATCCTAGAGGTCTCCCCTTGTTCCTTTCTCTTGCCTCCTTAATCTATCACCAATGGATTTCATGTACCTACTTACGTCTTTTCTTTTGATTGTAATGTATAAAATAAAGTGCAAAAGTGCCATTCTCTGGAGCATTTTCTCAATCTGTTGAGATTTGGCTTCCCAGGAATTGTCAACAGTTTGGCTCAAATAAACTCACAAAAATTCTTTACAGCTTTGAATGTTTCTTAGATCGACACTAGCAATGTCCAAATAAATCCTTTTTAAACTTTAAATAAAATCTGTGTTTAACACATGTTATTAAACTTTTGTTTTTCTCCTGTTATACCAGTTTAATTATTAGACCAGCCAAAGATTGTAGAGAGTAGAAGAAAAATTTTTCTGACCCTACACTATCAATAATGCCTCTCAGGTCTGACCTCAAACCCAGGCCTCTGTAAACTCTTCCAAGGCCAGTGCTGCACTGGTCTGAACTTGCACGTAGGCTTCTGTCAATAATTCACCACCAGTGTCCATCTCTTATAGATCTCTACCTTGGCCTCTGTGAACTCTTCTTCCATCCGTACCCCTCTGGTTTACAACTCAAACCCATGGCTCTTTCAACTCCATCCATTAATGGCATCTTGTCTAGCTAGTCCTGTGCCATCTGACACGACAGACACTAGCCACATGTGGCTACTGAGCACCTGAATGAGTCTTGTGAGATTGAGAATTGAATTTTAAATTTTATTTATTTTAACTATTGAAAATTTAAAATACTCAATTCAGTTATTGAAAAAATCTGAAGTATATTTGGAATAACTTGTAAATATTAATCTGTTTTCAGCTAAATTTTACAAACTCTAAATACAAATAAAATATTTCTGATGAATATTTAGCATTCCAATTGAGATGTAAATGTAAAATATATATCTGATTTCATATACTTATTACAATAAAAACAATGCCAAATATCTCATTGATAATTGATAACTTAAAAATAATGATTACATGTTAAAATGACAGTATTTTGGATATGTAGTTTAAATAAAATATATTATTAAATTTCATTAGTTTCTTTTTTTTTAATGTGTCATCAGCCTGGAGCCTCTAAGTTTCCTGCTCCTCTTCCACCTGGGTTGGAAATTGAGGCTGCTGTTCTGCGGCAATGATTTAGATGCTCCAGGCAAGAGTGAGAGATTTCATTCCTACTCCTATAAATTTGGAATAGCAAAGTTATTGTTGTATAGCAACAGGGATGTTCCCATTTCAGTGACCATGGAGACTAAAACCTGTCTCCCACACCGAGCCATTGGCCAGCTGCACCATCTACCCAAAGCAACCTAAGGCCTCGTCCTACCTATTTCCACTTTCCACACAGGGCTGTGTCATCTATCTGTACCCCCTCAGCTTATGTCCTGCCCTCCTTGCACTGGACAATGGGGACCTCTGCTGATTTACAGACTTGGCAGCCTCATAGGACTGGAAACGCCACAGTCTGATTCTTACACTCAGCCATTTGCTAACTGTGCCTTCTGTTTCCAGCCTCTCAAGAGTCACTTTGGCTGCATCATTTCCCATGGCAGTGGAGTTACTACCTAGTAACACTTCATCTTAGGCTGAAAAGGCTAAAGCTTACTTCTCCTGCAGTCATTGGCTAATTATTTGTCCATAGCAACACTGGCTAGACCTTGTCTCTCTCACTCTGCACATAGCAACAGGAGTTTCTCCCTGGTAACAGGCTGCTGCTTCATCCCATTGGCCACCAGAAACCAGATCCCACCTCTTGTACACAGCCATTGGCCAAGCTGCATCATCTATCTACAACCCTCAGACTTGGTCTAGACAGGAGAGCTCAAAAGGTGGTCTTTTATTAACTCTTTCACTACCACTATTCATCTTGTTGGCTCTTGAATTTGTTCATTTGTTACCTAATTCACCATCAATGGCTCTCTTGCCAAATTTAAAATCCAGGCCTTTGTTAACATTTCCACCAACTCTGGACCGATTTTTTAACCCCATCAATATTGCTTTAAGTCTAATCTCTAAACTAAAGCTCTGATAACTCTTCCACCTTCATTGCTTATCTGGTATGGTTTAGCATTCAGCCTTCAACTAACTATTGCTCCTTCAATGCCCCCCTGAAGTGGAGCTTGACTTCATGCCTGTTAATTTTTTCATTATCTTTTCTAGGTATACTACGACTGATCTGAAACTCAACCTCTGTGAAACCTTCCAATATTAATGACCTTGATAAAGCCTATCTGATAAAGACCACCAAGGTCACATCCATAGTCTGACGGAAATGGACTTATTAACTTGCTGCAACAAGGGAGATCATACACCATAGAAACTGTGGGAGATCTCGTCTAGGGTAGCCAACTTTCCCCAGTTTGTCCGGAACTTTCTTAATTTTAGCAGTGAATGTCCTTTGCTCCAGTAAACCCCTTAGTCCTGAGCAAACAGGGATGGGTTGTCACCCAAATCTCATCAAAGGGAAAATGGGATTAGTATAGAATTTTGGAGAAGCAGTGAGTTTAGTTTAAATTTAAATAAGCAGTGTTTTGATTAACCCAAAGCAAAGCAAGTTGGTGTGTAAAAGAGTTAATCTTACCTCTAAACTGTGAAGTAGATACAGGGACCTTTTTATTTGCAAACACTAAAGCAAAAATAGATGTGACATGTTTGTTCCAGATGCTCCTAATTTGAAGCTCTGAACCTGGTTTGGAAATGGAGGCTGCTTTTCTGTGTGGCTTAAATCCTCCAAGCAAGAGTGGAATGTTTTGCCCGGCCGGTGTGGCTCAGTGGTTGAGGGTAGACCCATGCACCAAGAGGTCGCAGGTTTGATTCCCGGTCAGGACACGTGCCCAGGTTGTGGGCTTGATCCCCAGTGGGGGGCATGCAGGAGGCGGCCAATCGTTGTTCTTTCTCATCGATGTTTCCATCTCTCTCTCCCTTCCTCTGTCTCTCCAATATAACAATAAAGAAAAAAAAAGTGGGATGTTTTATTCTTTTTTTTTTTTTTTATCCTCACCCGAGGATATTTTTCCATTTTTTGTACAGATAGAATGGAAGGGAGACAGAGAGAGAAACATCGACGTGAAGGGACACATCGAGTGGCTGCCACCCGCAAGACCAACCAGGGCAGGGGACAAACTGCAACCGAAGTACGTGCCCTTAGCGGGAACCGAACCCGGGTCTCTCAGGACCGCAGGCCGACGCTCTAACTGCTGAGCCAAACTGGCCAGGGTGGGATGTTTTATGCTTACTGATATAATTTCTAATAGTCTTTGACTTTAGAGAACAAGGTTTAAGGCTGGAACTAGGGTGAGGCAAGTGAGGCACTCACCTAAAAAGGCAAAATTTAAGGGGAATCAATGGAAAGGATAGAGTGCAAAGGAGGAAGAAGAGAGAGAAAAAAAACATTGATGTAAGAGAGACACATCGATTGGTTTCCCCCCCGCAGGACCCAAGTCGGAGGTTCAGGGTTCAAACCTGCAACCCAGGTACGAGCCCTTGCCCAGGAATTGAACCCTTCGGTCCGCAGGCCAATATTCTAATGACTGAGCCAAACTGGCCAGGGTTGTTTTTTTGTTTTTTCTTTTTAAAAAGGACATTGATGGTTGAAAAGTTGAGATCTAGACAAGACATTGATATTGGAAAATTAACATATGCCTAGTCTCTCAATCTATAAAGGGCACATATGATGAAAGGGTTAACAGCAGTTTGGATTCAGGGTCAAAATACAGGGACATTGATAATGGAATCATTAATAGAGGACATGAATCCAGATTAGAAGAGTGCAACTTAGGTGTCGGTAGAGTTAAAAAGAAAAAAGGCCCAGGTTTGAGATCAGCCAAGGAGGTATTGATGAAGGAAGCTAACAGAGTCTAAGATTTGAGATGTTGACCAGAAGTCACAACAATAAGTTTTGGTAATTTCTTGTAGAAGTGTGTGTGTTACAGCAAAATTCTCACATTTGCCATTCTGCCTCCCATTCAATTCACAAAAACTGCAGGTGAAATAGATAAAATGGAATACTCTGAGAGGCTGACCATCTAACTCTCCTGATTGTTGAGCTGAGGCTCAGAGAGATCTGAATGTCCTTAGGGCTACCCAGCAATCCATACCCAAGGTTAGCCAGGGCATGTTGGGTTTGAAATGCCTTCAGCAGGAGAAAGAGTCCTCTCTTCCTCTTGTCAGAAGTTTCCAGCAGGAGGATATACTTGGAGTAGGCTTTGAAAAATGTATAGTTCAGAGGTGAAGAACACCTAGAATTCTCTCTTCTTTCTCAAGACTCAGTAGCATCTTCTGAATTTCCATACAAGAGAGCCCAAGCAGCTGCAACCCAGTTGACAGAAGTCGAGCACGTCTTGGAGATGCATTTTCATGAAAAGTATGCTTATATTTTTCTAAAAAATTTTCTATTGACAATGTTTTGAAAACATTAGTTGAACATATCGAAGGTTAGCACTATAATTATTATTCCTAGCACTATTTTAGTGGGGTAATAGAAGAAATGGAGATTAAGGGGGATTCAAGTCTCCTCCATACTAATTCCCTGCACACCAAGAGGAGGCTGTACCACCCTGACTCCTCACACCTCTTCTCCAGTGGTATCGCCCAGGAGGGGACCTGCTTTAGTTTGACTTTTTCCCCCTTTTCCCGGTGGTATAATCAAGGCACGGATTGTACCACTCTGACTCCATCCCTCTCTTGCCCAGTAGTATCCGCCAGGAGGGAGGCTGTACCATCCTAACTTCTCCTTTTTCCTAGTGACACCTCCCTGGAGGAAACTGTGATCATGATGTTTTCCCCTCCCCCAGTGGTATCTCCCTTGAACATCTGGCAACATCTCCCCTCTCTCCAGTGATGAAGACTGCTACCTCTGCTCTGTAAACTTTGCCTAGACTTTTAGAACCCAGTTCCAAAGACTTGCTGCCCCTAGAAGCTAGCACTCAGAAGGTTTCTGCCCCTGACCGACGCCCCCCTCCCCTACTTTCTGTGGAACAGCCTATTGTACGGAATAGACGCTAAGATGGCGCCCTTTGTTGAGGGACCCCCTGGGCGCAGCCATGTTCCTCTACCGATAACGTCACTTATGGACAAAGTCTGGGCGGATCCATAACTGCACCTGGTTCTGAGTGAGTAGACCACAGCCTCACAGCCCTTGAGATCGTGTGCGAAATCAAGAGTCCCAGAAAGGGCATCGGCAGGGGTGACGACAGGAAACGATAGTGGCCCTCAGAGGCCGTTTAAATTTTGGTGGCGCGGGGCGCTAAAGCGAGTGCACGAGGGTTTGTGGCTTGACAGTCACTGAGATGATTTTGAGGTGATGGCTTTGTTGGCTTTTGGAAAGGATACACTGTCAGTTACTGGAGTCACTTGGTGGGGAATTAAAGAATCTAGTAAATGGGAGTTCATGCGGGTCAGGGATGGGGATTTCTAGGGTTGTCCGTTTTTAGACTCCTTGCTGTGTCTTGTCAAGTCTTAATAATTAATAAATAGTCTGTCTGTTTAGATTTGTCTATCAGTCTCCCCAACAGTTTGCTAATTTTATTAGTCTTTCCAAAGAACCAACTTTTGGCCTTGTTGATCATCTCTGATATACCTTTGTTTTCTACTTCCTTAATTTCTGCTCTAAATTGTAAGATTTTTCTCTTTAACTTCTTAAATTAAGTGTTAATTTATAACGTTCATCCTTTCTTTGTAAAAAACATCTAAGAACATGAATTTCCCTTTGTCTCTTTAGCTAAAATTTTATATGCATCATCTTATTATTGAGCTTTGTGTTTAATTTTTCTTCTTTGATTTATTCTTTGCATTACTTTAATATAATGCTTTGGAGAGGGTTGACATGTCTATAAATCCCTCTTATCCAGGGATATGGTATTGTGTGACTATTTTATATTAGTCAATTTTTTAAAACTTTTTAAATTGTATAGGTCTAGTTCCTTAAAAAGTTTATTTTATATATTTCCTGCTAACGGGTTTTTCCCATTTTCATTTGATCATTGTTGTGGTAGAGGAAAAACCATCTGCTCATAATTTTATCTTGTATCCAGCCCCTTATGAAATTACCCAATTAATTCTAATAGAGTCTAGTAGGTTTTCTCTTGTATAACATCATATTTTTGGCAAAGAAAGCTGCATTTTAATTTCTTTGCAATGTTTATTCTGATTGTTTCACCTTCTTTTGTGTGAGCCAACACCAGAAAAATAATTCTGAATTGTATCAGACATCTCTATCTTGTTGCTAATTTTAACGGCAATAGCTTCATCATTTTACTTTTTAGCATAATATTCCATGATTTTGTTTTGTAAATGATTTTTGTGATACTTAAGTAATTTATTTCTTCCCTAATTTCAGTTTGAGTTTTTATTAGTAATGACTACTCACTTGTGTCAAATTTTTTGTTGTAAGGTAATAGTAGTATGTTTCCCCTACCCCTAATTTGTTGACTTACTATTGTTGAACCATCTTCATCTGGGAAGAAGAGGCTAACAGCTTTCCCTAGAGGACTTTTCACCTTAAAATGGCAAAATAATTCAAGATGGCAGAAGAAATCCTTTTTATTCAGATGATCAGGTTTCTAGGGTTTGTGTCTTCACAGCCACCCACAAGGTCCCCCTGGACAAATCCTTCCTCTGCCCACTCCATGAGGCTTTAGCACCATTCACTGCCCCAGTTTTGCCCTCCCCCCAAACCCAGATCTGCCTTTAGCCTAGAATTAAGGAATGGGCTGGGTGGATATGGTGTGAATCCCCTTGTGGAGCTACCCAATAATAAAAGACTCTGAGCTCATCAATTTGACTCTAAGAATTATGATTGTTTCCATAATCCACCCTAACACTCAGAGTGGGGATTGCTGAACTTTGAGGGGGTGAATGTGGAATGACACTGGTGACACGAATACTGTTCTTTTAGGATTTCTTGGTGTCTCTGTGGAGCTGTTGCGCATTCTCCTTATTGGAGGTGCAGGATCTTCCTTTCATTCTGACTATAGCCCACCTACAGACACCCCTCCAGTTTTGGAAGTTGGGCTGAGACCCAAGATGAACATGCCAGCTAATGAGACATCATTCCAGAGGTTCTCTGCCTGGGTTCTGGGACAACCTGGCAGATCGTTTAAGGTAAGGAGAAGGAATCTACTGTAATTTTATTTTTTTTAGGTAAATTTAATTTTGAGATAATTATAGGTTCAAATGTAATGTACTGTTTCCCCAGTTTCCCCCAATGGTACACTGTGCAGAACCTTGATACAATATCACAACCAGGATATTGACATACAGAAAATTTCCATCACCACAAGGATGCCTCATGTTGTCCTGTAATAGCCACAATCACTTTCCTTCTTTCCCACTCCCTCCTTAACCCCTGGCAACCACCAATCTGCTCCAACTCTATAGTTTTGTCATTTCAAGAATGTTATATAAGTGGAATCATACAGTAGGTAATCTTTTGGGACTGGCTTTTTTTACTCAGTGTAATTATCCAGAGATTCATCCAGATTGTGGCGTATATGAATAGTTAGACCTTTTTCTTGCTGAATAGTATTCTATGGTTTAAATCAGTCAGTAGTTGAAGGACATCTTGGTTGTTTCTAGTTTTTGGCTATTGTGAATAAAGATGCTGTGATTGTTTGTCTAAGGTTTTTGTATGGGATGAATACACATGAGTGCAATTACAGGACTGTATGCTAAGTGCATTTAAAACAATTAATTGACTTATTTTTTAGTACAGTTTTAGATTTCCAGAATAATTGAAGATATAGTACATAATAGTTCCATATACCATTATAGTCCCCCTCCTTTGACACACAATTTTCCCTATTATTAATATCTTGCATTAGTGTGGTACATTTGTTACAATTTACCAATATTAATACATTATTATTAATTATAGCCTACTGGTTACAGTAATGTTCACTGTGCTGCACCTTCTTCAGGTTTTGACAAATGGGTCATGACCTATATCCACCATTAAAGTTTCATACAGAACAATTTCATCTGTGCTTCAGCTATTCATCCTTTCCCTCTACCGGAACCTCTGACAACTACTGATTTTTTTTTTACTGTCTCTATAGTTTTCCCTTTTCTAAAATGTCATATAGTTGCAATCGTACAGTCTGTAGCCTTTTTAGATTGGCTTCTTTCACTTAGCAATTTGCATTTAAGGTTTCCCCATATCTTTTTATGGCTTGATGGTTCATTTATTTTTTATCACTGAATAATATTCCATTGTATGGATGTACCACAGCTTGCTTATCTATTCACCTATTGAAGGACATCTTGATTGTTCCCAATTTTTGGCAATTATGAATAAAGCTGCTATAAGCATTTATGTACAGGTTTTTGTATGGACAATAGTTTTCAATTCATTTGGGTAAAAAACTAAGAGGACAATTGCTGGGTCACATGGCAAGACTATGTAGCTTTGTAAGAAATTGCCAAACTGTCTTCCAATGCTTCAAATGAGCATTCCTGCTGCTCTACATCCTTGCCAGCATTTGCTGTTATCAGTTTTTTGGATTTTAAAGATTCTAATGGGTGCGTAGTGGTATCTCAGTGTTGTTTTAATTTGCAGTTCCTTAATGAAAAATGATGTTGAACATAGTTTTACATGTTTATTTGCCATCTGTATATTTTCTTTGGTGAAGTGTCTGTTTAGATCTTTTGCCCATTTTTCAATTGGGTCGTTTTCTTATTATTGAGTTTTAAGAGTTCTTTGTATATTTTATTTTATTTTTCTTTATTGATTTTAGAGAGAGAGGAAGAGAGAGATAGAAACATTGATGAGAGAGGACATTGATTGGCCTCCTCCTGCAGGCCCCCCACTGAGGATCAGGCCCACAACCTGGGCATGTGTCCTGACCGGGAATCGAACTGGCGATCTCCTGGTGCATTGGTTGATGCTCAACCACTGAGCCACACTGGCTGGACTAGAGTTTTTTGGTATATTTTAAATACAAATCCTTTATCAGATATGTGTTTTGCAAATATTTTTTCTCCATTCTGTGGCTTGTTGCTTTCTTTTCTTTTCTTTTTTTTTTATCCTCACTCGAGGACATTTTTTCATTTTTTGTTCAGATAGAGTGGGAGGGAGAGAGAGGAAGAGAGAGAGAGAGAGAAACATCGACGTGAAAGGAACACATCGAGTGGCTGCCAGCCCCAAGACCAACCAGAGCTGGGGACAAACTGCAACTGAGGTGTATGCCCTTAGCAGGAACTGAACCTGGGTCTCTCTGGACCACAGGCCGATGCTCTAACCGCTGAGCCAAACTGGCCAGGGCTTGTCACTTTATTTTCTTAACAGTGTTTTTCACAGAGAAGAATTTTAACATTTTAATCAAGTTCAACTTGTCATTTTTTTTTGTCCTGAATCATACTCTCCGTATTGTATTTTAAACATTGGCAAACACAAAGTCACTTACATTTTCTCTTGTTATCTTGTAGGAGTTATTTACCTTTGCATTTTGCATTTAGGTCCAAGATCCATTTAGAGTTAATTTTTGTGAAAGGTACAATTGTATCTAGATTCTTTTTTTCCCTCCCCTACATAAAGATGTCCAGTTGTTTAAAGACCATCTCTTTTCTTTTTTTTTTTTTATCCTCACCCGAGGACATTTTTCCAGTTTTTGTACAGATAGAGTGGGAAGGAGAGAGAGGAAGAGATAGAGAGAGAGAAACATCGATGTGAAAGGGACACATCGAGTGGCTGCCACCGCACGACCAACCAGGGCCGGGGACAAACTGCAACCGAAGTACGTGCCCTTAGCGGGAACCGAACCCGGGTCTCTCTGGACCACAGGCCGACGCTCTAACCGCTGAGCCAAACCGGCCAGGGCTAAAGACCATCTCTTGACAAGGCTATTCTTTCTCCATTGAGTTGCCTTTGCTCCTTTGTCAAAGATCAGTTGACAACATTTGTGTGGGTCTATTTCCTGACTCTGTTTTTGTTCCATTGATATATTTGTCAATTCTTTCACTGATACCATCCTGTCTTTTAATATTATATTTAATATTTTTCTTTATTGATTTTAGAGAGAGATGAAGGGAGAGGGAGAGAAAGATAGAAACATTGATGAGAGAGAACATTGATTGGCCACCTCCTGCATGCCCCCCCACTGGGGATCAGGCCCACAAACAGGGCATGTGCCTTGACCAGGAATCGAACCAATGACCTCTTGGTGCATGGGTTGACGGTCAACCAGTGAGCCACACCAGCCTGGCACCATCCTGTCTTTTTTAAATTGAGGTTTAATAGACTTACAGCAGTATATTAGTTTCCAGTTTACAACATGATCTTTGCATATATTGTGAAATGATTGCCATAGTAATTGTAGTTAACATCTGTCACCATACATAGTTACAGAATTTTTTTCTTGTGATGAGAACTTTTAAGATTTACTTTCTGTTTATTAAAAAGTATGTTTTTATTGATTTTAGAGAGAGAGGAAGGGAGAGGGAGAGAGAGAAACATTGATTGGCAGCCTCCTGCATGCCCTCCACTGGGGATCGGGCCTGTAGCCTGGGCATGTGCCCTGACCGGGAATTGAACCAGTGACCTCTCAGTGCATGGGACGATGCTCAACCAACTGAGCCACGGCAGTCGGGGCTCTCTTTCTTGTTTTCTGATGACACAAATGTTGGTTCTTTTGTTATAGCCCCACAGGCCCTGGATGCACTTTCTTCCAATTTTGTCTATGTCATTATTTTTTAAAATTGTGTTCTGTCTATGCTATTCTGATTGGGTGATTTCTATTCTTCGTTGCTCCATTTCCCTGATGCTTTCCTCTGTTCCCTTTGTTTTGTTGTTGAGGCCATCCATTGAGTTTTGTATTTTGGTTATTGTATTTTTTAGGTCTAAAATTTCCGTTTGGATCTTTATATCTTCTGTGTTTTTTGCTGAGGCATGCTTGTTGAATTATTTTTGTGATGGCTGATTCAAAATCTTTGTTGGATAATTATCTCTGTTATCTCATTTTTGGTGCTTTTTTTTCCAGTTTGAGATTTGTCTGGTTCTTTATTTTATTTTATTTTATTTTTTCCTTTATTGATTTTAAAGAGAGAGGAAGTGAAAGGGAGAGAGAGAGATAGAAACATCGATGAGAGAGAACAGCGATTGGCCGCATCCCGCATGCCCCCCACTGGGGGTCGGGCCCACAATCTGGCCAGGAATCGAACCGGCGACCTCTTGATGCATGGGTTGATGCTCAGCCACTGAGCCACACTGGCCAGACTTGTCTGGTTCTTGACATGAGTGATTTTCAGTTGAAATCTAGACTCTTTGGTATTATGTTATCAGAATCTGGTTCTTATTTAAATCTATTTTAACTGGTTTCCTCTGACTTCAATACAACTGGGGACGATAGGGTACCATTTCTTTTTTTTTTTTATCCTTACCTGAGGACATTTTTTTCCATTTTTTGTTCAGATAGAGTGGCAGGGAGAGAGAGAGAGAAACATCGATGTGAAAGGGACACATCGAGTGGCTGCCACCCGCACGACCCAGGGCCGGGGACAAACTGCAACCGAGGTAAGTGCCCTTAGCGGGAACCGAACTCAGGTCTCTTTGGACCACAGGCTGACGCTCTAACCGCTGAGCCAAACCGGCCAGGGCGATAGGGTACCATTTCATTACTTCCAAGTGGGAGAGGAAGTCCAGGTTTCCCATTTGGCTTCCCTTGATACCTTAGGTAAAGAGCTCCTTATTACTTCTGGGCAGAGGTGGAATTCCAGCTTTCCAGTATGTCTCCCCTGATTCTTCCCTGGGTGGGAGTAGTAATCGTGCATAATTATTGCTTCCCATTACTCCACTGACACCATGCGAGGGTGAGGGCTTGGGCTTGCTGCTCCTTGGCATTGGTGAAAGTCCTGACACCACTCCAGCAGGATGAAGGATGGATGCCTCATTACTGCTGATTTGAGGTAAACCAGGCCTCCATGGTTTCTCCACTGCCAGTACTGAGTGAGGAGCCTCATTACTGCCCAGAAGGTATGAGCCTTAGCTTCACCACTTGATCTTTTCTAATATCACACCATTGTTGTAGCGGGTGTAGCACCTCGTTATAGCCAGACAAGAGTGGAAGTGTATGCTCACTATTTGGCTTTTAATGATGGGATGGAATTGA